GGGGGAGGGAGGGAGATAGTGTATTTATTGTTTGAGAAAAAAAGAAAAGAGAGAGAGAGAGAGAGAGAGGTTTTTTTTGTGGAGGGGGGGGTGGGGGGGGGGTGATGAGAGAGAGAGAGAGAGAGAGAGAGAGAGAGAGAGAGAGAGAGAGAGAGAGAGAGAGAATCATCGATCTCGCGCCCGTGTTGATTTGTCTTGCCTGGTACGCTCTGTATGTCAACTGTTGATACTGCCTGTAGTTGTTGCTGGATTTGTATTCACATACAAACTGTTCCGATCTCTGCTACCCAGTCTTCTAACGTTCGTACTGGTCCCAACTGGCGCGGGGACGCCTTCCGTGGCCGCAGGCTATAACACCCCAAAAGGGTAGATCTACTCAACAAAAAATCGAAGAGAGAATGAAAAGGGACCCAGAAAATCAACACAAACACGGCTTTGCTAAAAATACTGCATGCCTGAGCAATGCAGAAATGTAAGGCCCCAGGAAGCTACACCGCGAAGTCAAACAGCCATCAAGACCCTAAGCGGCGGAGAGATGGCACTGGGTGAGAATTTCCTTAATATGACGCAACGATTCCATCTCTATCCGTAGCGTCAGCGAAGGCTAAAGACCTGTATTTCCACGATTTCCTGAGCATTTTTTTTTTTCGCACCCGGTTCGATCTCTTCCACCGGTGCCATCTCTCCCCGACCCCGGTGCGGAAATGCAAATGTAAATTTTTTCGTTTTGCATTTTTCATGGCACCCAGATGCGATCTCTCCGACCGGTGCGATCCCCAATGAGATACACAAAGCGGACCGACTGGTGCTCGGTAGCGTTGTATGCACGCACCCCGGTGTCATCTCCCCGACCGGTGCCATTTCCCCGGCCGGTGCCATCTCTCCACTTTTCACGGTACACACCGGGCACCCGAGGCCCGAGGCGCACTGGGCTGCTTAAGTCACGCAAGGAAATGAACAAGGTCCGCAGCTGCCATCTTCACGACAGCCTAGTGCGTGGAATGTTAACTTGTCTGACCCCAATCACCGGCCACAGGGTTAACCCTGCACCAAGGGCCTTCTACATCACCCAAGAGGCACCCCCGGCGACAGAAGGTTGTGGGAAATCCTATTTTATGTATAGTCCATCCGGTTAAATTTTGCCACAACGTGACCCCCACTTTTTCTCGTTCAATTTTGAGAGTTGAAACGTGAAACAAAGTTGGCAAGCACCGCACGACCGAGATGCATCGAAGTCCGGTGTGGAAAAAAATCGGCGAAAGTGGCCGTTTTGAGGAAAAATTACCCCGAAATTACCCGAAACGACCCGAAATTACCCCGACGTTGTCCCGAAACGGCATACATTGCCCCGAAACGCTCCAGCACACAATCTGAAGATCTGAAGTCACAAGGTTGTGGCCCGCGTCGATCATCCGCGCCTATTTCTCCTCCCCTCTCAGCACCCTCTCCGCAATAGCAAAAAAACAGCACTTGTTCTACAGAGACAAATATATCTAGATAGATACGTGACCTCTCCAGAGCTGCCCGAGCGACAGCTGCCGAGGTCGCTGTCACTGCTGTGTTGGCTGCTGCTGCTGCTGTGGTCCTCTTCGTCTCCTTCATAACACGTGTCGTTGTCATGGTGTGTGGAGTGTCCGCAGCTTCCGAAGCGAATGGTTCTGCAGGTGGCAGTCTCGCGCCGACCCGGCCACCACCTGTTCTTGTTTGGAAGTGGCCGCGCTTCTTTTGTTTGCCGGGAGGACGCCCAGCCATGTGTGGGCTTGTGTGGGCCCTTGTGGGAGCGTGTGGTACTGCTGTATGATGTGGATGGTGGTGTGTCGTGTGGTCATGCGTGGTGTGTGAACACAAAAAACTTTGAAGGAGCCTTGGTTAAACTTTGATAGTAACTCTTTAGGACTAACCGATGTTGCACGTAGCAAGGTTAGCTAGGTTCTTCACGCGAGCAAGGCTAGGTTGCTCACCCCTCATTTACCCTAACCCTCACCCACGGCCAAAGCACGGCCTAGCGGCCGCGAACTGGACGGCACGCGGCTGCGCCGCGTGCTCGGAATGCGGAACGGGGAGAGGGCGCTGGAGAGGAATCGGCCGCCAGAACCAACGCCGAACAACGCCCGACCATTCAGAACGCGTTAGTCCTAAACATCTACTTTCAGTGTAAACACTACTCGGTGAAGGTCCAATTCGTCCGAATCCGTTGAGTTTTTCGAATTCCGTCGGAGCATTTTCCCCCGGAAAACGGTTTTCTGAGGTCGCCTGGAAATGCGCCTTTTTGCCCATTTCTCCGTAGCTTGTCAGCGAAAAAAAAACTGAGTTGGGTCGGCCTGGCCTCCTCGACGTGATACGCTCAAAACCGGTCTAAAAAAAAAAAAACAGACCTCACTTTCGACCAAATAAAACCATTCAAAATCTTGAAAAATCTCGACAAAATTGCGATATTCTCGCTATAAAAAAAAAAATGCTCCGATCAAATCATCCGCCTCAAACAGAGCTTTCTTACGATATAAAGTATGTCACTGGGGGGTACGTCAGTCACTCGGAATCAATTCCAGAGTGATCCTGGGAGGTCGTGGCACGATTTAGCGGATGGACTCTATCCTTCTCGAGTCGACTCTTGAATCCGTGCATGTTTTATCGTCCGTTTCCGTCGATTGGGGGTCAGACAAGCAAACATTCCACGCACTATATACTTGTAGGCTGTCGCGAGGATGGCCGTGGCAGACCGAGTTCATTCTCCTCCCCCCGTACTGCTGTCATCTCATCTTGTGCGGAGGAACCCCCCACCATACTTGACCGTACTTGACTGTTGTATGATAACGCCAACTATTTGACCGTTGTATGGATACGGTTGGTTGTACATGACTGCTGTATTGTGCCGCAAACCAGCACGAAAGCACGAAACCCCAAAGAGGAAGAAGGAAGAAACACACGCAGCCATCACGTCATCACCACCACGCCTGAAGGTTCCCACGCAGTATCGGTTCGCAATCTGATGCAGGGCGGTGGCGAAAGGGAGACTTCCTGGTCATCGGCGGTGTAGAACGTGTAGACAGAAAGTGAATGCGTGCTTCAGGCGTGCTTTCACTGTGTGTGACAGACATTGGCATCGTATCCTGCCGATTGGCGCTCTTCTCGCCCGAGGCATCAAAACCAATGCACGTCCCACCCACACCACATTACGCGCATCTCAGCAACGGCTTTCTCTTCTGCCTGCCCATCTACCCGTATTGGTATCACCCTCTGCTGTCTCCACTTTCCTCACCTTTCCGTTATCGGTAGCTGTAAGGAGTAGCACCCTGGCGGTGTTATCAGTCCGCCAGCTGCGGCGGCGGCGGCGACGGCTCCCCACCTGCCAAACGCGCCAGGCCGTGAGCAAAGCGGCCACAATGACAGCAGAGACGGCGGCCTTTGACCTCGTAAGCGAAGTCTCCATGTCACTCTGCGGCAGTTGTGTTGGTGCTCTGCTGTTTGGCGCCGTGCCTGGATCGGGGTGCTTGTTCTGTGTTGGTGCCTGTTTGTTTGTTTCTGTTTATTATTAACAGTCTCCGCCGATACAAGCACACCCGAACAGAATCTGGTCTGCGTGTGCCCCTTTGTAAAAAGGCATGAAAAGACACACACGCACACCGCCCACGCAACAGCAGCAGCAGCAGCAGCAGCAGCAGCAGCAGAGTAATAAATGGAATGTTGGACAACACCGCCGAGGAAGACCCACTCCTCTCCATCGGGGGAACAAGCAGAGTGGACACCGCGAGCAGTGCAAGCACCAGCAGCATGACCAACCCCGACTCCGATGACCACAGCCATCACCACGAGCAGCAGCAGCAGCAGCAGCAGCAGCAGCGACGAGAGATGGAAATATCCTTGGAAAGCGATGATGACGAAGACGACCTTCATCGAAAGCACATTAACAGAACGAGAATCCGGTGCTTCTGGTCGAGGACTGGGATCTGGGTCAGCCATGCCAGGCTCCTCTCCCTGGTGATGGTGTTAGATCTCATGATACTGAGCGTTCAGGTGTGTGCATCCTGCTGCTGGAAAAAGCTTTGCAGCTGGTAGTACATCGAAGAGCATACGCACGCAGCGCGTAGGGCGACCGCTGGGTAAACCTCGTCGGCAGAACAATAACACAACGGAGCGTGGTTGAGAGGTTTAGGTTGGTTGATCAACCTGGCCACCAAAAGGGGCAGCAGAAGCGGCACAAGGAAATAAATGCTGTGGCGGCACTTCAGCTACATATGCTGTGTGCATAGCTGCAGACCTTCGTTCGCACCGCCTCTCAAAAAAAAAAAAAAGGGGCCGGAAGAAGTGCAACTTGCCTTACCGGCGGCCTGGGACAACAGCAGCAGATACACATACCATGTAGACCGAAATACCCACACAAAGTTCGGAGGAGACGACTGCACAATGTTTGCTCCCCGTTCGGTCGGTGCGTTCCTTGCTATCCCTACATACTTCAGCTCTGGTCGTGTGATATTGGTGCGCAAAGAAGAAAGTGGCAGCAGCAGGAACTCATCACACGGCTCAAACTACAGCAGGATTTCAACATGCTGGCACACCACCTCTAAAGTGCATTTTTTTATTGACTGATGATTGCTTTCTTCCGAAACCCTTGTTGGTATGCATAATAATACGTCATCTCGGAACGGACATGTTGTTTCCAACGCGCGGGCAAGGGGCCCTCCATCTGGAAACGTCGGAACACCCCTGGGTTACGCTGCAATTTTGGTCGCGCGCGGGGGGGGGGGGGATGGGCCTTATATGTCCCCGGTCGGGGACATGGGACATTTTGACAAAATCCGGGGTTTCGACATTTTCGGGCGCTTCTTTTAGGGCGCGCGCGCGGTATCCCACACAGAGCTATTAGTGGAAATTATGGAAACACCACAAGAATACGCGTCAATCTTGGTCGCGAGGTCTAGTGTAAGGTGTAGGAAATAGTATGACGACACGAAGCCTACAAATGAAGAGAATTTTATGGGTTTTAGAATGCGGCACGAAAGTCTACTCAATGAAGCGTACATCGGTTTTACTACTGACACACTAAATCCTATACAATAGACTGCTGCAAGCGTGCCGCCTAAGCCCCCTATATTGCGCTGCAATCTTGGCCCGAGGGGGGGG